CTAATAATGGGACGAGTTTATTAATCCTGGGTCGACTGTACTGTCTTTGCAGCGCCCCCTACCAAAAATGAACAGAACCAAAACAGAATGACCCCGCGGGGTTCGTTTTGCGTACTTGTTACACATCCCCACCAGAAGGACAACTATCACCAAATTGACTTCGAATTAGCCCGAGAAGGCAACAAAAAACGGTTGGATTCCCTAGTTGCTCAATCTCCCGGTGGATTCGAGGGAACCTGCCACGGACCCAAAGAGAAACTCACCCAGACCTCCAGCGGCAAGAGAAAGCGCAAGGCACCCTTCCCAGAGAGTCTCTTGGTACCTGAGGAGGTACTTAGACCCCTTACCCCCAAAAGCCATCCTCTTGAAGTACTTGGACCCTCTGGGCTCGTTGTTTCAAGGAATCCTTTCTACCACGTGCTTCCAGGACTCCTGGTATCTCCTAAAGGCTTCCTCTATAAAATAAAGTAAACTTGGATACCCAACCAACCAGCTAGCTTTTCCAAACTGGGCTATCCTCAGATCCCCTGCGAAAAGCTTCACTTTTACTGGGTGAAACGGAAAACCAGCCACTAAACCAACCAAAAAGCTGAAAAAAGCAACGGAACCGGATGCAAAAAGGAAGAAGGGGGGCGAGGCACGAAACCCGCTGGACCCAAAGGCTGGGGCCCCGCTCAAAAGGCTGGGCCGGCCGCCCGTCAGCAGAGCAAGCTCCTTGGCCTCACGGATAGTTTGTTGTATTATTTGTCCTCTTCGACGCATTTTGCTTTTTTGTTTCCTCTTTGTGCCTGCTGTTTTTTTTTGTTTTTTTTTGACAGAACTGTCCAAGCCTTGGCCCTACGACGCCTGCAGGTTGCGAAACAGAACTGTCCAAGCCTCGCCCTAAGAATGAACAGAACCAACAAAGAAACAAAACAAAAAGAAGAAGAAGAAGAAGCCAAGAACCGTGAAGAGAAGGAATCCCAAAACCATCTCCCTGGTTCTTTTTCTACTCTGGTTCTATCATCCAGCATTGGATCCACAGCCGCATCCGCCTTCCGCTTCGACTGCAAGGTGGAAAGCTAGGCGAACGCCCAGTGGCCTTTGGAGGCTAAACATGCTTCCCCCCCAAAAAATGGCCCACATTTCACTGAGGACCCTTCTACCAGGGTGAAACAACTGATGAAAAGAAATCGGCGACCCGATGCCAGGAGAGGCTCCAAAGGAGCCTTCCTGGAGGCACGCACAAGGATCGAGCGCTGAACTGGGCAAAGCGCCGACAAGGACTGTTAGGTTCCAAGTCCGCTCCAGCAGACTGACTGATGGCAAACAATATTCTGTGGCAAGCCCGTCCCTCGGACTAACGGTCAAAACATGCTCGCAGCAACGGGAAGAAGCCGGCGAGTTGTCCTGTTTTGAAGTTGCCCCCTTCAGGCTTGTTGGAAAAGAAGCCAAAGGGAAACAATGCCCTCAAGGTAACCATGGCAAACCTGGTAACCATGGCAACCATGAGGGAGAGGCAAGCCCAAGTCCTTCCATTTTCTTAAGCCGCCTGGAAAAACGCAAAACATATTTCCAGGTGATAGTTTCCCTTTCAACACCAAGAGATCAAAATAAACACATATTCTTAAGCAAATAGCAGTTTCCCGGCGCAAACACTTGACTTCCCCTGCCTCGGCCGCATCGCGCGCTGCTTCCCGCGCCGCCTCCCGCGCGTCCTTTGAAGCGCCGGGCTGCGGCTTTCCGGGCGCACCGTCGCGCCAGAGCCGGGAGGAGTAGTCCTGAGCACGAGGCAGAAGGCGCCGGAGAAAGAAAACAAAAACCTTGGAATCTCCATGGACAAAACCTGAACCGAACTCGGAATCTCCATATCATTATTAACCATGTTGGGGGTTCAAGTTTGAGACATACCCAGGTGCCCCCTGTCCATATCGTTACCGTTAGACTTCATCATCAAGGTCATGAAGGCTCTCAGATTGAAACCAACGAGCAAGACTGCGAAGCGGCCCACGCTGTTTTACTTTTTGCGCGCGGAGGCGTTTGGTTGCTTCATCCGTCGCTCTTGGCTGCGTCTGTCGGCCCATCTGGCATCGCCTCGTGGATGTTGAGATAAATACCACAAGGCAAATGCAAACCAGCCACCTGGCCGCAGAATTGCTGCTTCACCGCGATCGGACCTCCATCCGCCAGTTTCTGAGACATCGCGTCTGCTTGCCCGCTTGGGGCCTGCAGAAAAATCGAGCTGCACACCTCACCCCGGCTCAGCACCAGGCCGGAGCCATACAGAAGCAGGTCGGCCTGCTCGAGCCCAGCATCGGGACCCCGCGACACCTTCCTTTCCACCAAGGCGTCCCCGAAGACCTCCTTCAAGAAGCTGAGGTACCTTGGCTGCTGCAACGACCGACCCCCCTGCAAAAAGTTTAGCCTTTTGGGAGGCTAGTGGAAAACACCTTTATTTCCAAAAAAACTAAATGTCTAAAGATCCAACCCAATGGAAGTCAAGGTACGCATCCACGTCCGGCACACTGAGGCTTGCCCTCACGGCCGGCTCGGGCTGCACCTCCACGGCTTCTTCGGACTTCGTGGCCAAGGTCCACGAAAACCCGCAGGCGTCCCTCACGATGCCCAGCTCCGAGCCGAAGAACTGCTTGGCGACCGCCAGCACCGACCGGCAGGGGACTTTGGCGCCCAGCATCTTGGCTTCGATATCAAAAGCACTGGGCACGTTGCAATGCAGGTAGACATGTGGCGTCTCCTGTGAGCGATACTCCTTGAAAGGGACTTTGAGAGCCGAGCTGTAGCAGTCCACGTCCATATCCTCGAAGAAGACGTAGCCATCGCAGGCTGTTACCACTGCCGCGTGCATGAGCTTCTGGCTCTCATCCGGATACTCAAAGAAGACCCGCGAGGCAGTTGTACCGCAAAAGCTGGTCATCACATCCTTGGCATTCTTCACGACAACGCATGGCGCGATGCCCATGCGAGCTCGGTAGCTCTTCAAATCTCGCGCCGCTGGCGTACCGTCTGCTGCCCGCTTCATGGGTTGCCCACGCACGGTATTTCGCAGAGATCGTTGATCAGCGAGAACGGCTGGCTGCGGTATGCTGCGAGAACGGGACAAATGCTCTCTCCAAGAAAATGACACACGGATGTTCGGGGGGTCTTTTTGCCACCTTTGGTGTAAAATTGATCGACCCCCTGAAAGTGAAGAATTTCCTTTTAGGCGGGTCGCCAAGTGTCTCACAACAGGTGGCAAAAAGAGCCTCCTGCTGATATGATGTTCGTTGAATTTCACCCAGGCTCCAAAGGTTTCAGCCATTTCACCTCATCCCCCCCCCAACCCCCCAAAAAAAACACCCACCAAAATGTGAAAGCAGCCCGCTGCTTGGAGCCCTCCAAGAGAAGCCCACCTGCTAAAAGCCACCCCAAACCTTGAGACCCATGCTGCGCCCGGAAAAAAAAGAGGCTCTCGCTACAACCATGGGGCTCTCAAACTATGTGTCTTTGGCTTCCCTGTAAACCAACCCAAAAGGCCGGCCTGGAAAATTAAACACACTTTTTGCAGTTCTCTTATGGCGGAGTGGTCAAAACCCTGGCCCGCCAGCATGAGTGGTGTCCTTCTTGTCCTCCCTTTTAAGTACACATGAGAGGTCCACTTTGAGAAGCACTCGGCCATTCTGTCAGGGTAGATTCAGGCAGCCATGAGCCGGTGGCGATCGTGCCCCTCGATTGTGCCGCTACTGTGGATGGACGAAAACCATTCCGCACCACTTTGAAACCATGGTTGAAACCATGCTTTGTCGGTGTTTACGTTGGGGAATCATCATTCCAGGGATTCTTGGGTGGTGCAGGATTTCATCCATCCACAGTAGGTAGGGCCTTCTCAGACCCTTCGAAGGGCGCGCGTTCGTGCCGCCAAGTCGCCCGTAGCTCGGAGACTTTGTCGCGCCGCCCCCCGTCCTGCGCGCCGAAGCAGAAAAGTGTGCGATCAAAACTGCCCGAAAGATTCAGCAAACCAACTCACACAAACTGAATAAACCAACCAACCAAACAAAACAAACAAACAAACAAACACATAACAAAATAATAAACTTCACCAAATGGAAAGTGCTCATTTTCTTTGACCCAACCCACTTAGTGTCAACCAGCCCTGCCGCGACTGCCAGCGGCTGACTGCCGAAGCCGCGCGACTGACCCGGTCCAGCTCCAGCTCCGGGCGAGCTTCTGGAGGCGCTGCGCCGAAGGCCTGGCCACAGCTGAAAACCGCAATTTTGGGGCTCCCCAAAATGAAAAAGACACATCTCTACTTGGGTGCCGTAGATCCCCCAGCAAAAAGTTTAACTTTTTGTTGGCTAAAAGGAAATATGAGGGGGAAAAAAAGTTAAAGTCCAAAGATCCAACAATAGCAGTACAATCTAGGGCTTGATTCCCCATTCTTTTCAACCATCGTTATTTTCAAACACCGGCGGTTTCCCATGGCCTTTTTGATGGTTTCCTCGAAAGATTCGCATCCCTGGAAAGAATGGAAATGGAAGGTACCCCTAGGACATCCATACATACACTCATACATTGTGTACATACCTATGTTGAGATACATTGTGTATGTATACAGGGCGCCCGCAGGTTGGGTATGACTATTCGCCCTGACGCTGACGACGCATTCCGACGACACATTCCTGACAACCCAAACCTCCAGTGGCGACACATTGTGACGACACATTGGTTGACGACGCATCACGTCTGACCACACATTGCCCGGTGGCCACGCGCTATCACGACATATCGGACGGCGACACACCACCTTCTGACTACACATTACCCAGCGGCGACGCATTGTGACGACACATTGGCTGACGCCACATTACCCCTTGAAGACGCATTACCCAGTGGCCGCGTTGTGACGACACATTGGTTGACGACACATTACCCCTTGAAGACGCATTACCCGGTGGCGACGCATTGTGACGACACATTGGTTGACGACCCATTACCCCCTGACGACGCATTACCCGGTGGCGACGCATTGCGACGACGCAGCGGTTGAAGACGCATTAGCTCTTGACGACACATCGCCCGGTGGCGGCGCATTGTGACGACACATTGCTTGACGACACATTATCCCCTGACGACGCATTACCCGGCGGCGACGCATTGTGACGACACATTGGCTGACGACACATTATCCCCTGACGACGCATTGCCCGGCGGCGACGCATTGTGACGACACATTGGCTGACGACACATTATCCCTTGACGACGCATAACCCGGCGGCGAGGAAAAAGGAGGCGGCCTCTTCGTGTGGCGCTGCTATGGGTTTCGGCGAGGAAAAACTAGGATGCGGTCTCCCCATGGACAGGATATGGCTCGCCATGGTTTTGCCGTTGCAGAACAGGGAGGTAAAAACAGGATGCGGCCGCCCCGTGGACAGGATGTGGTTCTGCCATGGGTTTCAGCACGAATGCCCCGGCCACTGGAAGAAGGAGGAAACAAACAGGATGCGGCCTCCCCGCGGACAGGGTGCGGTTCTGCCATGAGTTTCGGCAAGAATGCCCCGGCCACTGGGAAAAGCAGGAACAAACAGGATGCGGCCTCATGCGGTTCTGCCCTGGGTTTCGGCAACAATGCCTTGGCCAGAAAAAAGACTGTAAAAAACCGAGCTCCTGAAAGAGCTTCCACGCAACTCGTGCGTACGCAAAATGCCTACGCACGCCTACTCGGCCCCGGCCCTGTCAGCAAAATGCCTACGCGGCAGACAAGCAGTGTCAACCCGAAGACGCGTGCACTTCTCCCGGAAAACAACGTTGCTCAGTTGTTCGTGACCTGCAAGCGTTCACTTGGCAGACTCGGTGGCGCAGGCTGGGTGGGCATGATTGAAAATTGCGTTTTTGAAACATGCCACTTGTTGATTCCCATCTGGAGCCTGCAAGCACCAATAGAGCCAGCGAAGCCGGTGGGCGGAAGTTTCAAAAAGATATATCGGCTATAGGGATGCTCGCTTTTGCTTTCAAGGTCCCAAGGGGTCTCTTCGTTGTGGAACTTGCGCTGGTCTATCTGTATCTGACCATCTGTTAAGCTATCTGGCTGTTCTGTCAAGTTGAATAGTCGTCAAGCTTAGTGTTTGTCAAGCTAGTTATCAACCAAGATGCAGGCTACTTGTTGTGCCTCGGCGCTTACCACCTCCACGGCGTGGCACACCTGCCCTTCATCAGCTGCAAGAAGCGATACGTTTCATTGCCTTGGATCTTAGAGCCAAATATGAGTATCTTGTGCTCCCCCCTTAGCGCGAATTGAGCCAAGGGGAAAGCACCAACAACGCGCAGCCTTCAAACGGGAAGGAGTCCTTAGCTTCAGGGGAAACATCCGTACGTGCAACTGTCACGACTGCAACCGACACTGAGTGAACTCCCTGTAACTGACATGTGAGCGCAGCGTGTGTCAAAACCGAAGCATCAATGGCGAGCAATGTTTCTCTTCTTCCGATCTGGACGGTGTCATGCGGTCTCATTATGGTCACAAATCCGCCAACCCCTTTGCTTCCTCTTGACAATCCTTGACCAGCCGAGGAGTACGGCGTGGGATGCAACCCAGTGGAACACTATTGAATTAATACACAGTGGCCAAACATGTCATAGTCGAGAATAGTTACAACCCAAAGCAGCCATAGTAGTTTGGCTGTATGGAACCTTGAATGCAACAAAACGCTTGACGTGCCCCATGCCGGCAACGGAATCTGAACATTTTCGGGCAGCCATAGTTTGGCTTGGCTGCGCCGAACCTTGCGTACAACAAGAAACTCCCGACGTGTCCCAGCGCCAGCAACGGAATCTGAACTTCGGGCAAAGCCAAACAGAAGCGGCCAAACGTGTTGGGGTCGAGAACAGTTACATTCAAAAGCAGCCATAGTTTGGTTGTGCGGAACCTTGCGCGCACGTGTCCACTGTGTCCCAGCGCCAGCAACGGAATTTGAGCAGTTTCGGAGGTCGGGCTAGCGCCAGCAACGGAATCTCAACATTTCAAACAACCCCTCAATGCCCACACTATCACACACGAGTCCCACATTTGGAATCGCTCACGTAAGATAGGGGTCGGCGGCAGCAGGCGGCAGCCTGTTGTCGCCCAGAAGGGGGGCTCATGCCTAGGCTTTGCGTTCCAACTGACGGTTGCGGCTGCCGACCCCTCGCGTTTCCAGCGCCTGGGCGGGGGTGTTGGTGCATCACGCCTGCGCGGCCATTGGAGCTCGAGTTGGCGGAAGGCCAAAAACATCGCAAATATGCAAAAAACCGGCTGCGTCGCCAGCATCGTCGACGCCCTCGGAAGCGACTGCTTTTCGCGCGTCGCCTGCGTCGCCTGCGTCACTTGCGCCTCGTCCGGGGCCGGCCTCCCGCGAGCCAAGCCTGACGAGCACACGCACGCGCGCGCGCGCAAGCACTCGTGCAGGCGCGTCTTAAGGCTTCAATATACATATATTTATGAACGTAGACTTATATGTGTATATATATATACATATATATATATATATATATATTCAATTTTTGGTAACAATTATGCGTATATGTATATATATATACAACTTTCAATCGAATACAGTTCTATGTGTGTATATATATATATACTTATATTGTTAATAAATTGTCACACAATGCTAAATTGGTACATGTTAAGCAAGCATTGTGTATATATATATAGAACATTGAATAGAAAATAGATATCAAAAAGAAACTATACACATATATATATATAACTTTCAATTTATTCAACATTCAATATTCCAATATTCAATATTTGTGCACACGAATCAAAATCAATATTTAACATGTGTTTATCATGTATATAAAAATAAATTATATAACAAAGATTCAATCTATTCCCTCCCATTGCTCCCATCGCTCCCATCCATCCCATCCATCATATCCATTCCATCCATTCCATCCATCCCATCCACCCCCTTCATCATTCATTTCTTAAGGCCCCAACACCTAACCTATTCCATCCCATCCCAACCCAGCCATCCCATCCAGCCCGTCCACCCCATCCCATCCATCACATCCATTCCATCCACCTCATCCATCCCATCCATCCCATTCATCATGAGCCTGTCGCCTGTCCTGCAGGGGCGGGGTGCGGAGCCATAACAGTGCTTCGTTGGCATTGAGTGAACTCCCTATAATTGACATGTGAGTGCAGCGTATGTCAAAGCGGGAGCAAGGAAATTGCGCACCGTGTGTCTCTTCTTTCGGTTTGGTCGGTGTCATGAGGGTCTCTGCTGTCTCATCATGGCCACAAATATGTCTTTGGCACTCATGCCGGACATGCGCTCAAGGCGTCTAAGCCCCAAAGCCAGATACAACTAAAATGATCAAGCCGGATTCTTCTTGCCAGCTCACACGCAAACGATCATCACTTTTTTCACACCTTCTCACACTGCGTCGCTGAGAAAAGCTTCTAAAGCTGGTAAAGGTCGGTGGCTCTGGAGCCGAAGGTTTCCAGCTGAGCTGTCCCAGGCTTCTAGCAGAGATTCTTCTCCCATGACCTGGCTTCTCCGGTAACGGCAAGGCGTGTTCCTAGACACAAAGGAGGCAAAGTTGGCAGCTAGGTCGATGGAGGAAATGCGAGCAAGCAACGTGCGGATGTGAGGGTGCTGCAGACTGAGGCCCATCGCCGCGTAGAAATGGAATTCTTCATGGTCTGACTCATTCACGAGAACAAACGCAGGGCGGTCGGAGTTGCACTGCGCCTCAACAAAGAGTTCTTCATCCAGTTGCACTTCCTTCTTTTTGTGCCTCGTCGTGCAGGCTGCCAAACTTGGCGGCCAGCCAGTGGCCAACCAGCCAACGAAAAGGCTGTGGGCGACCCGAGCTCTGGAGGCTCATCCCAGGCTGCACGACTGCCCAGAAGCAATTGCAGACTCACCGTCAGTTGGTTGTCGGCACGCACATGGCATCAACAAAGAAGTGCGCCACTGCCTCCAAGTTCTTGCATGCATCATTCCACAACTGTTCCTCCAAGATCCCTGGCTGCTGGCATACAACGGGATAACTCCTAGCCAGATCTGGCAGATTAGCGACTCGCCTTGGGGCGTCGTTTGCCGCGCGTGCTGCCTGCAGAAGCATGTCCTTGTTGGCGAGGATTTCTTGGAAGGAATCTCGCTTCGTGTCCTTCTGGGGCGGGGTGGTGCGCAGCGCTTCAACGTGTTGAGCACAAAGGCTCACACAGTCTCGTAGTGGCGGCCAGAAAATGCTGGCGCCACCACTGTGATGTCAAAATGTTGCTTGGCCAACTGGCCCACGCATCCTTATCAGTGAGGAAATAGGAGTGCTCCACACCAAGCTGCCTCCAAACCTCATCGGCGCGCACAAAGTGTTGCCACTGCTGCGCTTTGCGGTCTTGGCTGCGATGGCTTGGGTCTTGCTGCAGCACTTCCAACAAGACCCAGCTTCGTAGTGTGGCACGTGTTAAGCCAACGTACCTCCAGGCTGGGGAGAGCAAATGCGTGCCTCGATAGGTGGTATCCGCAGCTGACCGGCGGGGAACGACCAGAAATGTCACCCCCCCACTCCTCCAGGAAGAAAACAAAGAATACCTCGCAGCATGTCCTTCCCAGCTCCCGTCACCACAACCCCAAGCCATTCTGCAATAGCGTCGACGCATGACAAGCAAGAGTCGATGAGGTGGGCTTCAAGGAACAGCTTCTGTACGGAGTAGTACACAATGACCCCAACAGTTCCATAGGTTTCTTGATGGCACGCCATGCAAATCTCCACGCAAATGCAGAAAATCAGGTGCGTGTACATGAGCGGGACCATGTAAATCTCCCGGCCTGCACTGCGCTGTGCAGTCGTTGGTAGGAACAGCAAAGGCAACAGGGCAGTTCTTGGAGCGGACGGTGAACTTTCAGCGTTCGGGTAATCGTTGGTGGCGCGCAGAGCTGCTGTGATTGCCGCGGAAACTCACAGGCAAGTTGATGGTCTGCAGCTTCATCCTCGTAACCCATTGGAACGAAGACTCAGTTCCCATATCTCCTGCTTGGGTAGCTTTGATGTATTCCTGCATGCTATCTCCAAAAAGAGCGGCACGAGGGGCAACAGACAGCATTGCCGACATGTTCAGAAAAGGCTCTTGGTGGGCTTCGTCAATGTACAAGAACTTCAATGCTTTATTGATGAATGCTCGCGACCATTCCCCGGATTGTCCAAGTAGCTTGCGAAAGAAGTCTGTTGTGCACACTAGGACCTTCAAGTCTTCCACGCTTCTGTTGCGGGCGTCTGCCTGCGCCTGGTAGACATGCAAAAACAAATGGATGTGTAACACTGCATGGGCGAAGCAGAGCGTGCGCCAAGCCTCTGTCCATGGACCCCGCCCTCCACGCCACCGATGGTAGGTGACCGTTGTTTCTGCAGCATTGGTGCACCTTGTCCTCTTGTCACCATTGCCAACAAATGAGGATTGGCTGCGTTGGCTTGCTCTTCCGTGTACTGCAGGAGTGCATCTATCGCTTCATTGCCTTGCCAGGACACCCCAGCAGGCGCCACGCCACCCGTAGGGAGACGTCCTTCCAAAAGCGAGAGCAAGCGGTGGACCATGGGCTTGTTCGGCGCCACAACCGCAAGGTATTCTCCTTGCTGCAGTGTAGGCACTTGCGCAGCAACCAGCGTAGCTATGATGTTGGTTTTGCCCGCGCGTGCAATGCAATCGACTACAGAGAGGATTGCATTGGAGATTGCCACGCATGCAGCCATTTGTTCCTGCGACAGCAAGCCATGAATTCCAAGGTTTATGTTTTCGGCGCCCGGAGGGCAACCGAGAGTGAGCCAGCGCCGCAAAGCCTGCAAGTTGGTTGAAGTAGGGGCTTGGGTAGGCGCAGAACATGAGCTGGCAGCAAGGGATTGCATATCTGTGCGAAAATTCTCCTCACATTTGCGAGCAGCTTCTTTCAAACAGTTGTAACTGAAAACATGCCCATGCATGCTCGCAGCTACAACGACAATAACTGGCACCTCTTCAGCCTCTGTGTTGTCGAAGAAGTTCGCTTGCTTCGGGAGCAAGCTCTGTCTTGTCAGGCTGAGGCTCGAGGAGCTGACCAAAAAAATTCTCCTGCCTCCCCAGCCCTGTTGTCATTCCCGAGGCGGGACTCAGTTGTGACCCAAACGATGTGGTTCTTGAAAAACTGGAGGTCGTAGGCGGTCGTAGGCACTTTGATCAATTTGGCCTTGAGGAATGTAAAGCTTGAGGGCGCTTTGTCCCGCGTTAGCGCTGCAGTGTGGATCCCCTTCACAGCCTGGATTTGCACTGCTGTTTGCATCGACTTCCGCAAAAAAGACCGCAGCAAGTCAAGTGCTACCGTGGAAGGGAGGTCGGCTGCAGAGAACGCTGAATCAATATGCTTGACCCAGGTTTGGCCCCACGTAGTGAATTATTGCTCGGCATTTTCCCAGTACATTCCTCCCACAGGAATCTGCCAGGAATTGCGCGAAAGTTGTGTGGACTGAACTCCAAACCATGGACATTGCCGAGCGATCTTCCCACCTATTTGACAGAGCCACACAATCTTTTCGCACTTGGGTGAGCCATCTCCGTCGCCTCCTCCCATCACTTCGGGGCCCGGTCATTTGGCCCAGCACAAAATCAAGCCCTTCAATGGCAGCTTGCGCAACGTCAACTGAATTGACATCACTGAGCTGCATGGGCTCGTGCGGTTCAGAAGCAGGCTCGACAGAGGCCGGAAACTGGGCCAATGGCACGGCAACTGAAAAACCATTGTTGAAGGGCGCAGGTTGGGCGCCTTCTTCGGTAGAACCCTGTAGCAGCAGGAGGGTCATGTCGCTACCAGCAGCAGTTGTTACAGGAGCCACGAGCCACCGCCGGTGTGTATTTTGGGCCAGCAAGGTTCTGAAACATTCTGGCAGCTCAGATGTGTCTGTGCTGGGTATCATGGGCAGAAGAAGCAGAGCCATGGGCAAGAACTCTTGGAAAGCTTAGTGTGCAAAGCTTTGCTGCGCACATGTGGTGGCAATTTGTGTGGATGGAGCATGTTCTGTCACGGTGCATGTGTACAACGTTCAGCGCCCGAAGGGCAACTGACAGTCCTGGGGCCAAACAGCACACCTTTCAAAGTCCACTGACTCGTACTCCAGTACAAAAGCAAAGCTGTCGGTACTCACAAAAGCTGAAGAGGGAACGCAAATTCTTGTGTTTTCGGGAAACCCATGGTTTACCAAGAGGGCAAACGGGGCCACTGAGCAATTGTTCCTGACCTGCCAAACGCTCCGCTTGGCAGACTCAGTGGCGCGGGCTGGGCGGGCATGTTTCAAAATTGCATGCCACTTGTTGGCTCCCATCTGGAGCCTGCAAATGCCAACAGAGCCGGCGAAGCCGGTGGGCAGAAGCTTCAAAAAGATATGTCGACTATAGGGGTGCTCGCTTTTGCTTTCAAGATCCCACGTGGTCTCTTGGCGATGGTCGTGTTTTTTTGCCGCTTGTTTGTCTCACTTGCGCTTGTCTACTTGTAGCTGAACATCTGTTAAGTTAAGCCCTCTGGCTGTTCTGTCAATCAAGCTTGGTGTCTGTCAAGTCTGTCAGGCTGCTTGTTGTGACCCTGCGGTTACCACGTCCACGGCGTGGCACACTTACCCTCCAGCAATTGCAAAAACGATTCGTTTCATTGCCTTCGATTTAGAGCCAAATATGAGCATCTTGTGCTCCCCCCTAGCACGAATTCGTCTTCGGTGAGAATTCGTCTTCGGACAATTCGTCTTCGGAATTCGTCTTCGGGGGGTAATTTGTGTTCGGGTGGTCGTCTTCGGGTGGGAATTCGTCTTCGGACAATTCGTCTTCGGAAGTCGTCTTCGGGGGGTAATTCGTCTTCGGGTGGGAATTCGTCTTCGAACAATTCGTCTTCGGGGGGCAATTCGTCTTCGGGTGGGAATTCGTCTTCGGACAATTCGTCTTCGGAATTCGTCTTCGGGGGGTAATTCGTCTTCGCTACTTTTACTTTTCGTGCATCGTTCTTATGTTGAATTCGTAATTCGTCTTCGTCTGCGGGTGGAAAAGTGGTATCCGCACAGCGGCCGCAATGTATGTATATATATATATACATATATGTGTGTGTATGTATGTATGTATGTATGTATGTATGCATGCATGCATGCATGCATGTATGTATGTATGTATGTATGTATGTGTGCGTATCACATGTTGTGACAAGCTCCGCGACGATCGGCACAGCTGGCATTTAACGAAACCGTGGCTGGCGCATGGGAACCAAACCTCATTTGCTTGTCTTGGTAAAACAAGTAGCCCCAAAGCTCATTCATTTGCCCGTCCCTTATTTCCTAAGCCATGGTTGCAAACCACCAAGCAACTGCTGGGACCCTTCAAATTGCAATCCCCTCATTTTGCCGGCGTTCCAAAGTCCACTGTGCTAGTAGATAACTTCGGATTTCCTTTTGGCTTCCGCGGAATGAGGTTAACCAAAACCAAGGACCTGAATGCTACAAGGTACCCTTTGAGGGTAACCCAAACTTCAAAAACACCTAACGAAGCTACCCAGAAGCACATGGAAGCGCCTGGCCCTGCCAAGGCTTGCGGGAGCCGCGGCGCCCGAACTCGGGCTCGCGGCCCTACGGTCCGTGCTTCGCTCGCGAGGAAGGCCGCGGGGGTTGTTTTTTGGGTGGAAGGAGGTTGGCATGCCCAAGACGGTCAGGCTTAAAATATGCTCAAGGGTTTGGTCTTCTCACTTGCCCCAAGAAAAAGGCCTCGAAATAAAAGGTGCTTTTGGGAACCAATACTACACATAAACCAACATAGAAAACCCAAAAGCGTCAAACAAAAGTCGGGTTTCAACCAGTGAGTAATGGATTGCTGCTTGGTCAAGTCACTTGGTCTGTGTGCGCGCTCCTGCTCCAAGAGATTGCGAGATCTTCTCCCACCGAAAGGGCATGATCCAATGTTTCAACGCGCATCGTTGGGTCGTTTGGTCAGAGGTTGACCAACGACGGCGCCCCCGATTGTCCGGTGCTTACTTCTTGGTTCGGAAGAAAGGCGCCCGTTTTTCAACCGCATGGCCACTTGAGCGCGAGGAACGGATTGGCCTGCCTCTCAAAGTCAGCCTCTGGACCCAACTTCAAGGGACCCCAGAAGAGAAATCGCAAGCAGGACATTCATCGGAGCGGGGGAGGGAGGAGGGAGGCCTTATTTGGGCCTTTTCTTTGGGCTCCCTCCCCCTCCCCTCCCCTCCCCTCCCCCCCAGCCCCCATGAGACCTGCACTTGAAATTGCCTGGATGAAAGGCGTGGGAAAGAGGACGCGGTTTTCGCCGAAGCCGACCAACATACCCCTACTCCAAATACCCACTTTTTCCAGGTTTTTTTGGGGACAACCTGGTTTTCAACTTTTCTACCTCCTTTTTTTAGTAGAGGGGCGACATGATACCCTGAAAAAAGTGGGTATTTGGAGTCGGGGGTAGATAGGGAGCTGGAAAAGGTCTGCTGCAATGGTCCGTGTAGGCGCCACCGGCGTCACCAATCCCCTTCGAAATCAAGAGGAAACAATGGAAGGTCATCAATGAATGTCAGGGTTTCCGCAGAAAATGTCTCCTGCAGAGGAATACAGAACCCACACAAACCATCCAGTTTTGGAGCAGCCTCTTTTTTGGGATGCACTTTGGGGCGGCACCCTAATTTGCAGGAGGATAAGCCAAAACTGGGGCTGTTGAAACGGCAACTCCCGTGAATGTCGTGATATGATTGGAAGTCTTTCTAGTGGCCAGTGCTCAACTTATGGGGGATTAACTGTTTCTTTGTACTAAGGTACTACAGAAACGGGTTGTTTCCTTCTACCCGAGGTATCGGAAAAAACGAAGAAACAAAAAAACATCCCCCCGCTCAGGAGATTCGACACCCTTGCTGCCTCAAAACACCTCCAGCTACCCACCCCACCCCTCCCACCCCCTCCCAAAAAAGAAAAAAAACAACTAAAACCAAAAGTGGCCAAACCACCTACCCACCAGCCCCCGACCCCACCCCCCACCCCTCGCCCACTCCCCGCCGCACTCCGCCGGCTCCCGTCGCCTCGGCCAGGCGCCGCTCCGCGAACTCCGCGGCGCGGGTGGCGAAGCCCCCCGCGCCCCGGGGCGAGCGGCCCCGGTCGTCCCCCGACGCCTCGTCCTCGGAGACGCGGAAAACCGCTTCTGTGCTAGGCCCTCCGGTACTTAAAGGGGTACTTAGAAAGTGGTTAGTGACCATGGTTAGAACCCACTTACCATGGCTACAAGTCTCCTAAGTGGGTTATAACCATGGTTACTAACCACTTACTAAGTACCCTGCCCCTTCAAGTAGAGAGCTGAGAATAAGGGCACCGACTTTTTCAGTTTGGTCAGCTGCGTCTATTTTAGTAGGGGGCATTAAAATAGGCATTGCGGCCCTAAGCTAAGGGAATCAGTAACCAGATTCTTAATTTATGGCCTGATGGTTATCTAGGTCCAGATTTGAGAGCTTCGAATAAGGCACCCACTTTTTTCAGTTTAGTCTATTTTAGCAGGGGGGGTCCTCCCCCAAAGAAAGGGGTGAGAAAGGGCACTACTGGGGGACCATTCTGTGACCATGGCGGGAAGGACAACCAGAATCAGAAGGCCGAAGAAACTCTGACATTCCTGTGTTGGTTCAGGGACCGTCCCCGGGACAAAAAACACGTCCGAGCCAGGTGGCGACCAAAGGAAGTCACCAACTCCTTCCTTTTATTTACCACGAAATGGACATTCCGGACCCACAAAGCGACTCAAGTCCAGGAACCAAGGCCATCAATGTTCGACCAAAACGACCAAACATGATATGTATGGGCTTGGCTTGGGTTGGCTTAAGTAAAGTTGAAGCCCTAGGGCGATGTTTGCTGAAGGACCCGAAATACACCGGGAAACCAAAGGGAAACCACTCATTTTGTGGGTCAGCCTGTGTTGACGCGTAACTTGCCAAATGTGGCTGCAACTATTTCGCCCCTCAAATGTACTTGGGTTACCTTGATGCTTCAGCCTCGGGCTCAATTTGCCTCTCATACTTGAACTTAAATATGAAAGCCTGACTTGCTGCTCATCGATTCACCTAGTTCCTCCTCCACGGTTTATTTATTGGGGTGTGCTTACCTATTGCTTGAGCTCATTTGAGGTATCTAGGTACGCTGCATTTGAGGCAAAGTAACTCAATGCCCCAAACCTGGTGTTGAACCATTCGAAACGCACCCTATTTTGCAAACGTCCATTTTGAGGAGGTGCTGGATACACCTAAAAACCCCCCATGTAAGGAACGAAACAGGACCCTGTACTGTTGACCTCCCCCTGGGGCCCCGCCCCCCCCCCCCCCCCTCCAAACCTCCGCCAAAAATGGGTTCCCCTCAAAGCCAACTCCCAAAATGGCAATTCTCCTCAATACAACACACGCACAAACGGCTTGTCTTTCGGAATGGCCCGTGTGCTCTACAAGTGTTTGACCTCTGTGATGGCTAAAGCTTCGGATGAAACCGGTTTGGAAACAAGCCCCTGGATCGACCAGATGTTGCCTTGGACCCAGGGGTCCTGGCCGGCACTGGGACAAGCCACATGAGTCATCAGAGGTTTCCATTGCCCGAACTGCACGTGCTGCTCTTGTTTGGCTTTATGGGCGACATGAGTAGTACAGCCTCAGGCTTGGAGAAGTGCAAAGCCCCTGCAAGCCTCAGGGAATACATTATATACCCCTCTCCCACGTTTTGCCCGCCCCTCAAGTCCCAGCTGCGTCGTTCTCGTAGTCTTGCGCAAACATCAGCCCATGGGAGGCCCAAAGCTGTTCGCTGGGGGATTTCGAAGCTACCATGAAAGTGGATCGCGGTATACGTGAGTCGGAATCAAAACCCTGAGGGGGGTTTCCTGGTAGATGTGAATGTTTAACATGGTCGACAGAAGAATTAAATTTCTGGCTGGGACAATCTGACTATCCAACTATCCCTTGCTAACCTTCATCTACGGGTTCTGATTGTGGGGTAAAGGTGGTGACTCAACCACGAGGGGAGTTGTGCCATCTATGACTAGGCTTGGCTTGGCACCCCAAATGCCTGTTCAACAAGTCATGTTGTGCTCTTTTGGTTGCTGAACATGCCTTCACACAAGGACTACCGAGAAGACACCAGGAACCAGGCCGCGCTCAAGGCATCCAAAACTCTGCAGGCGGATTGGATGCTACACTTCCACCGAGGATCGTGGCTACATCCTTGCGCTTTCTGATCGCATGGCTGCATGCGCCTTACTTGAGCACCTCATCGGCAACGGAAACTCCCGCCAAGTGCACCCTGCTCCGGGGTGGAAGCCTAACCTTTTTCTCCGCGGGGAGTGTGGCTTCCTTTCGGGACGCCAGGCTTCCCAAAACCCTTCTGATTCCCCTGTGGGAACCCAGCAAAAAAATCTGACTTGCTCGTGTCTGAGGTCTTGTGGCTTCAGCTAGTTGCGCAACTCCTGTGCTGCAAGCAATCATCAAACCCAGCGGCCCAGCGCAAACAGAGCAAACCGACCCCGGATGACTTCACCCGGCAGATCAGTACTTAGCGGCAGTTCCCTGAAAAGCGCAAAGAATCCCAAAGGAGGAGCATGCCTCCGAACACAAATTATGGAAAGAAAAAGGTCCGAAAGAATGTCCTTTTAGCGGAAATAGATGGCGCTGGTAGATGATTAAACCACCAGGTAAACCAGGGCCGTCTATTTTTTTCTCGCAAAACAACCCAGAAGGACACTTATGAATGAACCCCTATTCCCAGTGATTGCGACAGGGCAAGGGCACCTGGCTTTGGAAGAAGGGCGATCTGCCGGCCACCCCATCTGCCGCATCGCAAGGTCATCTTCAGTTTGCACCATGCCTTTTGCAAAACCTGGAGCGTCGAGCACGAATTCAACGTAACACGCATGTGTGTTACAATGAGGGCTCCAGGCATCTTCGATCTTCAGCTTCTGTCTTTGTGTTTGAGTGTGCCAACTTGGTATTTTGCTCTCTCTCCGGTGGAAACCGAAAAATAAGAGGAACGATTCCACGCCGTTGTTTTTTTTCGGGGGGGGGGGGGGAGGTTCGCCTATTTCAACTTGGTCCTCTAGAGAGGTTAGAATAAGGGCACCCACTTTTTCTTTTTTGTCTATTTTTAGGGGAACCCTCCCAACCAAACAAGTGGGTGAGAAAGGGCGCTTTTTTGGAGGACCTAGCTGTTTTTTGGGGGTCCTTGCAACACCCAACCAAAAAAGAAACTGGAAAAGTTCGCACCAATTGCTGGACCGAGTCAAGCGAATTTCCCGAGCACGAGTCGCCGCCTCGCCGGCCCCCTCGCCCCTCACGCGGCGCCTCCAGGAGCGCTCGCTGGAGCTTCTGGCCCGCGCCCTCCACGTCGTTGACACCTCGGAGGTGTTGTTTTGTTTTCTCCTTTTTTCCAAAAGAAATTAGGCTCAATTAGGCTCAATTAGGCTTAATTTGGTCCAACTACTTTTGCCAGCCCCAACATGATGTTAGCTTCTTGGGGGGGGAGTGTTGGGGGGGAGTTTTGCACTGGGTGATGTAGTTCATACCAGTCGTGAATACTGAGGTACTCAATATTCCAAAAGCTCCAATATTATTACATAAAGCATTACTTGAAGCTGCGGACCTTTTTTGGTGGAGGATAGCCTCTTGGTAACTTTCTGCTCCCCTGCTAAAAGTTCCTTTCTCTTCTTTTTTGGTTTTCTTTTCTCTTTTTTTTTGGGGGGGGACTTCCTGTTTGCGGATGCTCCCCCTTTCCTGGGGGTGTCTTGTTGCTTTAAAGGGAAACCGCCAGGGGTCTTTGAGGATGTTTGTTTGAGGATGCCCCCCTTTTTTTTGTGGGGGCGGGGTCGGGGTTGGTTTAAAGGGAAACCAAAGGCAAAGCCCACCACTTGAAAGCGCACGTTCAAAGTTCTGTGAGTTGGTGAGGTGACCAGGGATCCGACTTTAATCGTACCGCCTTTTTCGCTCTGGGTGTGGCTCCGCTTCAACCATGGTAAAATCAGCTGACGCTGGGATCCTGAGCTCCCCAGTTGATGCCAATGCGTATCTGGGCTGCCCGTTTTCTGATCCCCCGCTCAAAGTGACTAACCTTTAGTGGGCTAAATGGAAACTACCACTACACACTAAAAGGCTAAAAAGCCAAGGAACCGGATGGCTGGGAGCCACCCATGTGAATCATGCTTGGCCCCTTTGCTGCAGTTCATGGGCAGCTAACATCTGCTCGACGTCCCTGGCTGCTCGATGGGATTCCGAACATCCGCTGAGTGGGCGGGAGACAGACATCAACATGGTCCTTTTCTCACCTGCCGCAAGGTCCGGGAAAAGGCGATGAAAACATGAAAAACCCACAAGCCAAGGTCGGCGAAGAGATGGAACCCGGCTAGCCATTTGGAGGGACACACCTTCTGGACTCCATTTGCAGCTAAGCACGCCACATACTGAAAAACCCATGTGTTGAGAGGGGAACTTCGAAATGGGTGGGGTCCTTTCCCAAGCCAACCTTTCCAAGGCCGCCTGGGCTCTAGGTACTCACAAATGCTCCATAGTCATGGACCAGCCACGTGCGCTCGCCACAAGTTAACATAAAACCAGGCACCCTCGATGACCATCCCATTCATCACCACGTGGTGGAAGTTCTTCCGCCTGCGGCTCAAGAGAAGTTTTTCTTCTCGAATCTTGGCTCCTGGAAGGGCTCTCATGACTGGGCTGTCCGTTTTCAGAACCCCCGCGAAAAGTGACGAACTATGAGTGGGTTAAATGCACAAAACACTAAAAGGCTAAAAAGCTAAGGAACCGGATGGCTGGGAACCACCAAGTCATGAAGGGGTTCTGAGAACCCTGGGGGGCGAAAGGGGGTCCTTGGTGCCCCTCCCATTGAAATGGGTGCTCGAAACGTTCTCTTGGAAATTCCTTCTTCTTGGCCATTTCGAGGGTCGAGTTCATGGACGCGGAAATCGCTCGCTCTTGGGATCATGGAATTATCCCGCCTCACGGAAGTCTTGTTGTGCTCGTCCATGCGGCTGTCCAGTACCTGCATATGCCAACAAGAAGGGTATCTCACAGCTGCCCAATATTCTAGGGGTTGATTCCCCATTATTTTTGATCATCGTTCTTTTCAAAAACCGGCTGTTTCTCCTAGGTGTTTGATGGTTTCCTGAAAAGAAGGATCCCTGGAAAGAATGGGGAAGGTACCTCTAGAAATATGCAAGAACATGTGCGCAGGTGGTAAGGCCCACAAAACTGGCAAGGTCCACCAATCATCTGCATCATTCGATGCATCTGAGAATCTGAGCACGCGCAGCCCCACGGCAATGCACTGGGGGCGTGCGATATCCTTGATCACCAAGCCGCGATCTCGGTTGTTCATGGGTGGGTGATACCTGGCAGAGGTATCAGCCCAAGATTGCAGATAGGCCACTTGAGGGCCCAAGGCGGCATCCTCACAATTGCCCTCTGAATGCGAGAGTTGACTTGAGAACCCCTCAAAAGGCCTTGCTTGGAGGAACCTCAGGGGGCTGGTGGGGTGTGGAATTTCTACGATGAACTATATGAAGCCAACCAACATGCAAAGAACCCCTCAGACTGCTCACTGCTTCTGAAGCCCACCGACTCCCTGGCCACCGCAGCCACCTCTTCTCCCCCCCCAACACGAAGCGAGCCCGGGCGACTTCAGTCCCACCACCTTGCTGGGACCCTGGCGACAGACCAGCTGGGCCAGAAATTGGATCGGGTCCAGTAGTTGCTACTGCTACAGGTGCAAAATGGGAGCCACGCATGTTGCTGCTTTCCTTTTGGCTTCCTTTATCCAAGCCTTATTTTAAGGTAGCTTCAAAAAAGGCAACCCCACACGCTGCTTTTGCAAATCTGGGTTGGCCCCTCGCCGAGAAAACCTGGGCAAAGTGGGGCCAGTTCAAGCAAATGTTGAACCCTGGCTGATTCCCCAACTCTTGAACTCATGAAACCTATGGGTCAAAATCCCGTACCCCCAGTGAACATCCCAATCCCCACCAAAATAGACTAAATGGGTGCTCATTGGTTTTGACTCAAACATGTAAACATGTGCGCTGGACTGATGGATCTGCAACTTGACATCTTTCTTTCTGTAAACAAAGTGTTATGAGTTCAGCCTTGCCAACATACGCAAGCCGACAAACCCGCAACTAGATAATTGCCCTGGGCCTTCCCTTGAGCCCACTCCTCAAAGGGGTGCGCCGGGACACCGAAGCCGGTGTGTTCCTTTTTTGGGGGTGGCGGGGCCAACCTTAAAAAGGACACACGCAGATTTGATGCATTGGATGTCGATGGGCACGAAGCCACCACTGGCACCACCATCGAGACAGCGGCCCGTCTGAAACTTCTCTAGGCGCCAGGCCCTCTCGGTGCTTTCCAGTGTCACCTGGAAAGCAAGTTCTTATGTGACGTTGCAGATCAAGACACCTGGATGGAGAACATCCCAGTCCCCTGCTTTCCATGTTTTCTAGTTTTCGTTTCTTTTGATTTTGTTTAAAGGCCGACGTTGCAAAAAAATACACCAGCATAGACCCCAGATAGCACACCAGGCTACGAACCATGACGCTGCATCATAACGGTTCCCGCGGCATCATTATGATGTTGACAGCATCATGATGATGTTGACAGCATCATGCTGATACACCAGCCACGAACGATTCCGCACTACATATCTAGCAGAAAAAAAGCAGCGACGACGTCCTGATGAGTTCGACGGCATCATGATGATGCGGACAGCGTCAAGATGATGCGGACAGCATCACCATGATGCGGACAGCATCATGGTGATGCGAACAGCATCATGGATCATGGTGATGGCAAACGCAGAATCATGATGATACCACAGCCACGAGTCATCTTGTGCCAACGAAATGAGTTTCAGCATCATCCTGACGTTGACAGCATCGTGCCGCCGCGACACCAACGAACCATATCGCGGCACCGCAGTGACTCCAGCAGCATCGTGGCGTGGATTTGACAACATCGTGATGATCCAGCCACGAAAGTCCGAATCGGTTCAACAGCATCATGATGCTGCGGACAGCATCATGATGAATCCACAACCACGATACCCCACACAGCACCCGCCCTAGCACCCTGCCATCCATATGCGCCCGTACCGGCACCAACACCTCAAAACAGCACACCGGACATGTCCCCGAGCACCCTGCGTCACGTACTGTCACCAGCACCTCAAACGACCAGCAGTACCCCAAAGTGCATAGCCCCTAGCTCCCAGCCGTCGATCTTGCAAAACAATTCCCCTTCTCTCTCCATTAGCAGTTAGAACTCCCATGGTCCTAGTTATCTGGGAAATAAGCGCCCGCGCGGTCAGCAGCACCTCAAACAGCAACCCAGAAGCACTTGCACCACCACCCCAACATGCCCCTAGCACTCGCCGGCAATCCCGGAATTGCGCCCACAACGTCGCCAGCACCTCAAACAGCACCCCAGAGCAGCACCTGCACCAGCACCACAAACTGAATGCCCCCTAGCACCCGCCGTCCATCAGCGCCTTAAACAACACTTGCACCAAACAGCACCTCCACCAGCTCCACCAGCACCGCAAACTTCATGCCCCCTAGCGCCCGGCCGTCACCTCCACCAGCACCCAAAACTGCACGCCCCCTAGCGGCCGGCCGTCACTCTCGCAAAACAGCACCTCCACCAGCAACCCAAACTACATGCCCCCTAGCGCTCGGCCGTCAATCTCGAAAAGCGGCACCACCAGCACCCGAAACTGCGTGCCCCCCCAGCACCCGGCCGTCAAGCTCGCAAAACGGCACCTCCACCAGTGCCCCAAACTACATGTTTCCTAGCACTCGGCCGTGAAAGCGAACACCCCAAACTGCATGCCGCCTAGCACCCGGCCGTCAAGCTCGCAAAACAGCACCTCCGTCAGCTCGCAAAACAGCACCTCCACTAGCACCCCAAATTGCATCCCCCAAGCACCCGGCCATCACTCTCGCAAAACAGCACCTCCACCAGCACCCCAAACTACATGCCTCCTAGCGCTCGGCCGTCACCCTCGCAAAGCGGAAGCTCCACCAGCACCCCAAACTGCATGCCCCCTAGCACCCGGTCCTCAAGCTCGCAAATCACTTTCCCTTCTTTATTAGAAGTTAGGACCCCTATAGCTTTCAGCTATCTGGGGAAAAACAAGGCGAAAATCTGAGTCCCCTAGAATCCGTGCGAGCCATTATAAGAAGCCCTTCACCGATGCCCCCTCCCAAATGGACCATGACTGTCTTCTTCTTTAACGGGTCCCGCCTCGCATCCGAGGGCCATCGCTGGCCCCGGACCCGGAAATTGGGTGCCCTGTTTGGGGGTTGGATTTTTTTCCCAGGGACGCCCAAAACTAGGGGAGCCAGAGGTCCCCAAAAAGACACGCCCGGGACTACCAGCAAATGTGTCCCGAAGCGACCCACTTGCCTCACTTGCAATGATCGGGAAAATTACTTCATTTCCAATTGTGACTGCTTGACTCACACGGGGCCGCTCGCAAAGCGGATTTTGACTGACAATTGCAACCAGCTGAGAGGAGACTTGCGCCAAACGACTACTCTGCCCTGATGCCCGACGTGACCAGCGACCAGCTGCGGATACGGAACCCCAAAAGCACCGTGAACAATCCCCACTGCTTCACCTGAAAGACCCCCTTGCACCCCCTCATCTCGGCAAACTGCAACTCTGAACCTGGCAAAAAAAAAAGAGCAGCACAAGCAAAAGGAGACTCACTTCCTGAGCGGATGTCCCCCAAAAAAGTCCACTTTTTGCTTGCTCAAATGGTCTTCCTAAAGAAGTTTAAAGTCCAGGGACCCAGGAAGTGAGGGTACCTTTGTGGGTCTGCAACCTGCGCCGAATTCAGAAACCACTTGAGGAACGTCCTGGGCTGTTCGGAAATTGAGACCGGCCGACCGGCCCCCCCTCCAGAAATTCCCCGAGATCCCCAAAAACATTTTCTGCAAACTCCCCAAAATCTGAAAGGCGATGTCCCCAGGATCACCCTGAAACCCCTCGAGGGTTGCAAATTCTACTCCCCCCAAACATAGGTGTCCTTTTTGGTTGAAAATAGATGGCGGTAGTTGATTGAACCACCAGGTAAACCAGGAATCGCCCTCTTTTTTTCGACCGAATCAACTACGCCCCCAAATCCGCCAAACTCCACCCCAAGATGTTGGCTCGATCCCCTCCCTCGCACCCGGCGCGACTCGGCCCCCCCTCCCCCCAGCCGTGAAGGGCGACGGGAAGCGCAGGATCCGCAGGCGTACCGCCGAGCGCTTGGAGAGCTCACGCATCATGGCCTCCAAAAGAACCGCCAGCCGGAGGTGAGGGGGGGGGGGATCCGGAAAACCGTTCGGACCAACAGCCTACTGTAGATGGACGAAATCCGTTCGCACCACTTGGAAACCAGGCGAAACCCATTGTTCGCTGGCATTTGCAGGATTTCGTCCACCCACAGTGCCACTGTCCTCCACACATGTCTGCAAGGGTGGGCAAGCACATCTGTCCCTCCACCCCCCCACCCCCCAACCCCAAAAAACAGAGGCCTGGCAGCAACGCTGCAAGAGCTCAAAAGGCATACAGCTGTAGCTTCAGCATCTGGTTGATTTGCGGCGTCGTTGCTTTTCTGGCCCAGGGTCCCTTGCCCGAGGGCTCGCATAAAGTCATGGGAGGCATGGGGGAGCGGACTGAAAGCTAATGGCTCGGCAGGTGCCCAAATTCCGCAAGGCACACAACGGAGATGTGTAAGGTGTGGCAAACCAATCCAGCCCGGACAGGGCAAGAGTGGCCCCCCTTGCCCACCCCCAAAATACACTCCCTCTTCTCAGGTTCTTGTACAGACGCAGGCTTGAGGCAACAATTCTTGCCACCCTCTTCCCCCACCCTCGTGTGACTGGAGGTCATTCAACCACATGCCCTATGGATGCCTGAAATATTGCGCTTGCAGGGCACAAAGGGGCCTTTGACTTGACCATGTCTTCAGACAAACCCTAGGGTTCAAGCCACCTAAAAAAATCAAAAGGGTTGTCATGACCACCTTGTGTACCTAAGGAAGTTTCATCCTCCAAGTTTGGGCCCTTGCCATGCTTCTCATGTTGGTCAAACCTTGGGGACGAGGGACTCCACCGCATTCGAGCCGCTCCTGGATCCCGGTCTCGCCATTCACCTCTGCGACGAAGTCGCAAGGCTCGACCTGCGAAAAATCGGCGAAGTTTGGCGGCAGCCTCCGGATGAGAATTTACTCCCAGGAATACACCCACTGGGTATTGACCCATTTAGGCACATTTCCGGATAAAACCGTGTTATTTTGAACCAATCTGGGTCATTTCCCGTGGGTGTAATCCCAGGGTGTAATACCAAAACCGTCAGAGCGAGGGGCGAAATCCGCTTCGCACCACCTAAGAAACCCTGGTGAATGATGCTTCCCCTGTAAATACCAACAAGCTACGGTTTGCCCTGGTTTCCAAGTGGTGCGAAATGGATCTCGTCCACCCACAGTAGAACCCAAACATACCAAGTCGCAGGATAAGGCTGCGCATGAATTGGGATACGTATATACATGTGTATATATATATATATTTAAATGTGCGTATATCTAATGTACATGTATATCTAGTGATGAGATGACCAGCCGCTCCAGAACCCAAACCACGTTTAAAGCGATCTCCTTTTCAGGGACAGCTAACCAATGCTAACCACCCCCGAAACCCGGCAAAAAGCACAGCGCAAAAAAGGAACAAGAAAGAAACATATTCCAAAAAAATGAAGAAAAAGGAGAAGGACACAAATGCCATTGAAAGCCTTCTGAGCGTAGGCCCCCTGGCCCCACCCTGGCCCCATCTCTCTCTGCCCCTCTGCCCGCGAACCTTGGCGAAGGGGTACTCCTGGTTCCACAGGTCCAGCTTCCCGCCCGGCGCCTTTGGCGAGCCATCGGGCCGTCTGAGTTCCGGTGGGCTTTTCGAGGGAAACCAAGCGGAAAACCACAAAACCTGTGTGAGTCCTGCACCACCCCCCCAAAAAACTAACAAAGCAAAAACAAGACGCACCTACTAGAAAGGGTTCCAGGTGAACTGAGGCCGAGTGTTGAATCCAGAAGAAATTCTAAGTGCGAGTCCGTCAATAGCAGTATGATGGTCAATCGCCAAACAAGGCTTAAGACCAAAATAAGCCCCTCAGCTCCCCAGTTTGATACAAATGGCTGGCCCTCTTAAACGGAACAACCATGGCACATGGTCCTCAGCATTCTGATTTTAAACAAGAAGTGTGTTGCTAATGTTAACCCCGGATTAATAAACCCCTGGTTGATTTTGATCGGGGGGTGTCCCCTTTTAGTGGTTGGATTCATCCCACTTTTGGAGGAACACCCCCCAAAAAATGGTGGACGGGTTCTACTTAGATCCTGGGTCAACATTAGTTCTTTCCAGGGTAGCACGGAAGGGGACCCGCCAAAAGAGCGAAACACGTGCACCCCTTTCCGAGACGAGCCAAAATCACGCCTCGCGAAGGCCCGCCCGAAGGCAAGCAGTTGAGGTGCAGGCGAACCAAAAGGCAGCAAGGAACCGGAATCTGCCAGTTACTCAGTTTTACAGTACCAGGCCCTCCAGTGGCGAGGTTAGAATAAGGGTTACCCTGTTTTCGGTAGTCTAATTTAGTAGGGGAACCCTACTAAGACAGGGTAAAAGGGCACTACTGGGGGACCTAGAATAGGTCCAAAACCTGAAAGAAGATTTGTATCCAAGCTTGCGAATCCTTCCCATGGCTCAGAAGCTCGTGATACCCCCGGACCGGTGAGCTCGAAACCCATAAATTGTGCAGAAGAATGGCCGGGGGCCACCGGGCCCGGTGTCTGTTGGGCGCGCGGCGATCATGTTGATGTACAACATGTCTGGCCTCGGGGCGAAACCAACCAAGCCGCCAGCCTCCCTTGTCACGTGGCTGAAGCACCAGGGACATGGGTGTCCTTTTGAAGGAAACGTAAGTTGTATAAATTAGATGGCCCTGGTCCTGGTAGATGAGAAAAAAAGTCCAGCAGGGCCATCCAAAGAAGACCAAAAAGGGACACCTATGAGGAAAAATGTCACGTCCCCCCTTGCTTCAAGTAGGCACCCACTTGCGAGCTACCCTCGCTTGCCTGCCGTTCGCGACCAATAAGGCGCAATCGTTCCTTCCCGCTTGGCGCCCAAGGTGCTCGGAAAAAGCGGGCAATGGCCCACTGGCCCCCTATCGGCTCCGAACTCTTCTCGGCGCCGGCACATCACGCGGCTTGGCCGCGATGGGGTGGGCCCTAGGATACATCAAAAATGACCGCCCCACCACGGGGCACTGAATTCTGCACGAATTTCGGGCGTGCCCTAGCACTACACATCCAACAGGCGCGCCCATCGAGTTCGACATGGGGCCGCGGCCCATTTATGAAGAGAAAGCGGTTTTGAGCGGTAGCCGACCTTGGTTTGCCTGGCTAGTCCCATCTGATTCTTTGCCTTGCTACCGCGCTGGTAAGGAACAAGCACAGACCTAAGCATTTTCTCCGAGCAAGGTGCTCGCACATGCGCGGGCCTTGGGTGTCGCCCCCCTAGCGCTGCAAACGGCGCGCTAGCCGGGCGCTCCGCATCCCGCCGCCTGGTGGGGTTGGCTGAAGCCACAAGCCGCTGGGTGGCTGTTGCTTGTGTGTGTGTGTTTAGGAAAACCTACGGGCCAAGGAGTGTGTTGATCCTGACTCCAAGGAAGGCAGGATGACACAGCATCTGGGAGAACCACGGAGCAGCGCCTTTAAAATATGGGGTCAATAGGATGATTCTTTAGCTGAATGCAGTCGGCAATGAGTCCGGCACCATGTGCCAACTCATCTAGAACCGGGCTTCCAGGAAGAACATCTTGGTGGGTGGAGGGAACATGGGCAACGTGTTGCAATTGACAAAGGTCTTTCCTCACTCCCCGAGTGGATGGCCCAACAAAATACACTATTTGGTTACCAAAAAAAATGGTCCGCCCAAAAAGTAAAAAGTCCGGGAATTCAGAAGGTGAGTTTCTGACCGCCTCGGAAGTTCAATGAAGATGCAACATCGGCAAAGCTTTCTTGCGGCATCGAACGCTGCCCGCTTCGGGCCGCTTACTGCCATGGGCCAAAGGGTGCCTTGGAAGTGAAACTGCGACACTTCTTGCTGGTTCGATAGGCAGGGAAGCAGAAATGGAATAACCCCTTAGAAGAACCATCCCCGAGTTGGTTTCCTTTAAGGGAAACCCGAAACGGTTCATTCCCAAAACCCGGATGCTGGCAAGAATTGATTGCATGACTCTTGGATGCTACACGCATGACAACCCGTTGGTTGGTCCGCTCCCTTGACGGCCAGCCAAAAAACCGCACGATGGGTCTCTTCCCAAGTAAAAACTGGGCTGTCCTCAGATCCCCTGCCAACAGTTTAGCTTTGTATCGGGTTGAATGGACAACCCCACTAAGCCAACTGAAAAGCTAAGAAGCTATGGAGTCGGATGGCTGGGAGCCACAAAAACCTGTGATGGGCTGATTGCTTTTCGCCAAGCTTGAACCATGAGTGCCCTGTTCTGTCGCCCTCCCGCGCTTTCCAGATCTCTCTAGCGCCTCACCCGGTGGGCGCAAAGCCTTCCATCTTCTTCAACAGCGTGGCAGCCTGAGAACACCCACAGAATCAAGGCTCACTGGGGGAGTGAGCGTTTTCTCTTGCTGGTCCCAAAGGAATCAACAAGCGTTTTGGCATGAAGCCATTGGGGGACCACCCAAAGGGCGGTGGTTTATGTGACCCCTCTCTCCCTGCTGAGAAACAGAAAGATTTACAACCTCAACGGGTTGGCTGATCGCCCTTCAACACCTTGTTGCCGAAAAGACAGGCCCTCGCAGTTTGACAAAAGAGACTGCTCCGTTCTCTGGAGTAGCCGTCACGATGCAACAAACCCAATTCCAACTCGTCAACAAGCGCAACCACCAAGCATTGATTTCATGGAAGTGCGCACAACCCCTTCAAACGATCACTTAAGACCACTTCCCCCAACTGACGTGCACCAAGCCGTCTGCATTGGGATCCTTGCAAGCCAAAAAGGGCCATCTGCGTTCAGAAGGCGCCCGAACCTCTCGCCACTGGGAGTTCCGGCGTAGTTCGGGGAGTAGTACTGCACAATCTCCGGAGGGTACAGCAGGTTGATGGAATCCACCATCTCCTCAGCTCAGAAAAAACAAAATCCCTCAACCTTGTGAGCACATAACTTGGTTGCTGGCTGGTTGGCTGTTGACCCCGGTGGAATGAAAAGCCCGAACACGTCCATTCAGTCGGGATTTGCCTCTAGCCTTGGCCTTGCCCAACTTCAAGGGCAAGCGCCAAAGTCCAAAGCTGGGCGTTGATTTCATGCCAGACACCAGGTTTTCGCGCGGGCTCCCCACCCTTGAGAACCCAGGTTTCCCTGAAGGTTGGTCATGGTGGTCCATGTTTTGCGGCTTCCCCGATGCACTTTTTCGTGGCTTTGAAGAAGAAAGAGATCCCAAGGTCTTCAATTCTTCTATGGTCCACCATTTCCCCTTACCCCGAGCGCGCCCCCCAAAGGCTAAAAAGAGATCGCCAACACCGGGGGGTGACTGGGGGGACCCCGACCCTTGAGAACGGTCGGTCCTGCAGCTTCGAGCCGTGCTCCGTGCTGGCCTCCGTGGGCCGAAAGGCTTGCGAGAGATGTGGGGGACCTACTGTGGATGGACGAAATCCATTTCGCACCACCCAAGAAACCCTGCAATGATTCGAGTCCCCGGCAAATACCAACAAGCAATGGTTGAAACCTGGTTTCAAAGTGGTGCAGGATTTCGTCCATCCACCGTAGGGGTTGATTCCTTGTCCATTCTTTTCAACCATCGTTCTTTTCAAAAACCGGCCGTTCTCCCTCGGTTTCTGAACGGTAGGCTGCCTGGAACGAATTAAAGAAGGTACCCCGAGCAGGGAATGTGAAATGGAATGCCCCCGCTCTACACCATCCCTGGCTTCCTGTAGGGCAACCCCAGGTTTATTCCCTCACTCCTTCGAGAGCCGCTGACCCCCAAAGCTGGGTTTCACATGTTGTCCCCTACTCTTGTTGGAAACATCTGTGCTACCAGAACCCCCCCCCCCGGCCTCAAAACTAAGATTTGTGTTTATATACCAAGGATTGCAAGGTTCAGACCTGAACACATTTGGGTATGTAATAAAAATAGGGGGTTGGACCTCAACAAACAAAATGGGTGCGAATTCCTGCTGTTTTCCGCTTAAACCACCCTGAAAAGAGTGCCTTCAAAAAGAGACACACCCAGAAATCCCAGAAGACCGAGGCCGGAGCGGCCCCCAGCAAAATCCCTCAAGTCTGGGAAACATCCCCTTGACCCTCTTGTTCTCATCCGCGGGAGGGAAAGGGACTCCAAACCTCACGCTCTTCCACGACCCCCTCCCCGACCCCCCGCCCACGTCCCCCCCCCTGGGTCGCCTCCTGCAGCTTCTGAAGGCTCCCACTCTGCACGAAGGCCTTCCGCGCCTCTGCGTCGTTGGGCAGGACCTTGGCGAACTGCTGCACCACGTACCTCCATTAAAAAAAAAAAAAACAGCCGAGCCGCCCTCGATCGATCCACCGGATGCGGGATCCGAAACGTAGATGCGCGTTTAGTGGGCAAAAATGGGGAAATCCGACCAAACACTCAAAGGATCTACGGGCCCTCAGATCCCCTGCCGCCTGCCGAAGGCTTTCAACTTTTAGCGGGTTCCTCCGGAAGTCCAACCACTCAACCAACTGAAAAGATCCCAAAAAACCTTCACCTGCGGATGCGGATCCGATCCGATCGCTTGCACGAGGCCCTGAGAAGACGAGTGCAGAAGAACCACGCGACTTGAGAGGCGGTCTGCCAAATGCGGCTTGGCCTGGTAGAAACGATGATTGACTCGGCTTTAACCAGGGCTGTGGCAAATAGCCACCTCTGTGCTACAACAAAAAGGCTTCGCAAAGACCAACTTCCCATAGAAAGGGGGAGATTCCCTGGCATCCCAGCAGTGGGGCTAAAAACCCCAGGTGATCCACCACGACCCTGGGTTTTCAGCATTGGGGCTTGACGTTGGGGCGCTTGAGGATGTTGGGCGGAGAGTCCAGCAGCGGCTCAAGGGCCGGCAGGTGCGTGCACTTCTGGACGATGCTCTTCCTGGGCATCCGGGCGTCCGGGAGCCTGTCCTTTTTCCACGGGAGAAAGGCAAAAAAGCACGGGGAATCGGTCGACCTCCATTTGCGAATACGTCCCCTGGGAAAAATAAAAATCTCTCCAGTAGTGATAGTTTCCCTTTAAAGCCAACAGGGGAAAATAAAAAAAAATTCTTGACCAAATGGAAGTCGACTGGCTTCTTCCTGAGTGGATGGGCAAAAGAAAGAGTCCAACTGTTTGCTTACCGCTAAAATGGTCTTCCAAAGAAGTGACTAAAGTCTAGGAACTCAGGGAGTGAGTCGATGGGCAGGAATGAGTTGAAACCGAACTGAACCATTCAGGGGGGTTCTTTGAAGACCCCCAAGCGGTTTATTCCAGAACCCCTGAAATCCACACCTTGCCATGGACTTTTGCAATTTTGCTTGTTTGGGTCAATTCCACCCGCAACATTGTACGGGTACTGCACGTAGGCAATCAGGAAAAACCTGTCTCGTACCATGGCTTGCGGTTCGTTTTGAAACTGAATTTTGTGAAGTCCAGTCTGCGGTTCCATATCTGGAGGAAACCGGAATCTCGCTTATTGCCCAAAAAAGTTCCAACGGTTCGTTTGCCACTAAATTGCTTCCAAAGCATTGAAACCCACAAGGGTGGCAAAGTACGCATATTCTTAAGCCAAGAAGTTTTCCTGCTCTGCACATGAACTTGAACCACAGGGTATTCTAATATAGTGACAGGTTCCCTTGAAAACGAGGAGGAAAATTAAACATTTTCTTAAGCAAAAAGCTTCCAGAGGCAAACCAAGTGTCAAAAATGAGCTCTGGTGATATCCCCAACAGCATGCGGTGCTCTTTTTAGTGCTCGCACCACCCTGCAGCCCTCGCAGAAGCTCGTGGAACTCGTGGAACCCCCGTGGAACCCTGGTGGAACTTTGGTGGACCTCAGGGCCGCCCCGGACCACACCGGAGCCTATCTGGGCTGAGACCCCAAAGCTTTCAGCTGTTGGGGAAAAAGAGGCTGTGGCCTCCTGCTCTGTACATGAACTTGAACCACAGGGTATTCTAATACAGTAGTGACCGATTCCCTTTAAACCAAAAAGGGGGAAATAAAACATATTCTTAAGCCCCCTGGAAAAACACACAATGTCCTAAGCCACTTGGAAAAATGCAAATTCGTCCTAAAACCAAAAGGGGACTTTTTCGAAGTACCCTTAAGCAAACGGAAGAACCCACCGGGGAGTGCGCCAAACGTTTTTTGTTTTTTTACCTCTGCCGAGACTCAGTGCTCGCTTGGCCTTGATCTGGAGGTCTTCACTCGAGTCCTCGCCAGAGGCGGCAAATGAGCACATGCGGCAAAAGGCTCTTTGACCTACTCAAACCATGTTTGTTGGTTGTGTCCATCTAAATGGACATAGCCCGAAAAATTGGTGGCTTGAGTGGGTGTCTTGTAGGTTTTAAGACCATCGCGCCTTTATTCAGCTACACACTTTTTTCTGTGGATACCCAGCTGTCTTTGAGGCAGGTGTTTCTGTCTGGGACCCAGCATGCAGCTATTGCCATGTGAGAGGCGGGTGTCCTTTTGGAACGAAATGGATGGCACACGGGCAAACGAAGAGAACCAAACTGAAACCAGCTTGGTTCCATCTAGCTTCAACCAAGCTGCCCTAAGGACCTGAATTGGATGCGCACATGGTCAAGGCCACGCGCCTGGGCACGCCTTGACTGCGAGCTACCCATTGATCTAATGAAAGTATGCTCGCCCCACCCTGACCCTTACGAGTACAAGCCAGGGTAGGAACCAGTTGTTCAGTGACAGCGGAAACGCCTGAGGAAGCACCAGATGCTCGGAGGGGGGGGGGGAAATGCGGCCAAGGCTTTCCTGAAATCTCCGATCGGGAATCCCGAAGGGAAGAGGGGGGAACGAAAGGGAGAAGGGAAGGAGGGACGCGTGCAAGAAGGAAGCAACACATGCCCCCATGATCATGTAGATATCACACACCCGCTCCGGGATCCACCAAAAATCCGTGAAAAGAGGGCCCATAAAAGCCCGGCCCAGCTCTTTTTGCGAAACGTCCAGGCGACGCCTAGACGTTTCGCAGGTGTACAGCACCCACTGCCAAAAGAGGCCGACCTTTTTCGATTGGTTCGGACTCACTCCCAACTTGTCCGAGACGTTTCGGGCGCCGCTCACCCGTAGCAGGGCCTAAAACCCAGTGATTTTTTGGCGCTAGAAACATGCCTAGCAAGGTGTACTCCAGAAGGTAGTAGATCCGCCTAAAGCTCTCTCGAGTGCTATCTCGCAGGTCCGAAACTAGGAGCACTGTTGGCCCAGTCAACTCAGACTCAATGGACCTACCAAGCCAGTACACTCAGACTTAAATGAACCACCTCAACTGGCAGTGGGTCAAAAATAGGTGCCCAAAATGGCTTGCCCTGGTCATTGGAAACACGGACTAAATAAAACCTGCGGTCCAGTTCCTGGTGGTGACTCATTTTGACCCATACCCGTAGCTGGCCACCGGCTCGCGCTCACTTGTAGAAGGCCATCTTGTTGTTCATTGGCAGCGCGTAGTCCTGGCTGGAGAAGTACGCCTGCAGCTGCGGTAGCTCGCGGAACCTCTGGTAGAAGGCCTTAGCTTCGGATTGGGGGGGCGGGATCCCGGCACCCGGACAGGGCCTGACTTGAAGAAGTCGACGCTCCCATAGGAGTACAGAAAAATCGGAGCCCAATCTAGAACTCCTCGAGAGAGATTGGGCTCATGAAAGGGTGAGCCACTTTGCCGGTTCCTAGGCTCTTGATCTTTTCTTGAGGGGCACTGGATTTCCCATCAGAAGTTCCGCAAAACAACTGGTGGCTTCCATTTGGTCGCTTCACTTTTGGAGGTCCAAGGGAAACGGCTCGGAACCCCTGGAGCATTTCAACCAATCAGAGAGACGGACGCAAAACCCCGGTCCGTTTGTCACATGCCCATGGACGAATTGATGCGACAAGCATCCACAAAACGGACCCAAAAAAATCAGGGAACGAAACAACCACTTACTGGTGGCCCCTATTGAAACCGATGCCCCCTTTTTAGGGAGATGCCTCGGCACCCCGCGTAAAACCCCAACCAGCAAACCATGTTTTCCACGGCCTTCAGAGCGCTGAAGTCCTCCAGAGGCGAGGGGAAGCCGTAGGCACCAGCCATCGCTTCCTGGCGTCGAAACGTCGAAACCGGATGTCCGGACCCGGGACGGAAACCGCCCAAACCGCCCAACTGGGTTCTAACAGATGCTACAAGTCATGGAAAACCCCACGAATGAACCAACAAAAAACCTTAAAAAAAGATACGGGGACGGTTGGGAGCCACCAAGTTCCAATTTGGCGAGGCCAGCTTTCTCCATGGGTTTCGGCCAAAATTCCGGCAACCTTGTTCCAGTGGGCGCATCTCTTTTGCAAGCTGCTGGCGGCAGGCCATTGTTGTGCAACCAACCCTATGGTTGGGCGGTGGGCTCGGTGTTAGTGGGTCCTCCCCAAACGGTAAAACGGTAAAACTGCTTTGCCGTTTCCCAATGGTAAAACAAGAAACGGTAAAACCGACGGTAAAACACGTCCAATCAAAGGCTTGAGGGAGGACAAGGGCTCCCGCTGTACTTGGGCGGCTTTTTAAAGCATCCGAAGATGCGCTTTCTGATCTTTGAGGCACGTGAATTAGACACTATGTTCCGCCCAAGGGCTACCAAGGGGCTGAGCCACAGAATTGCCCAAATCCCCTTTTCCCAACTTCCCAAACCCGGGTGTATTGGGAACAGCCGTTGCTCTTCCCACTCAACATGAGCAGGACCTGAAAAGCAAACAAGCGTTGAAGAACACGATGTCTACCCCAAATTGAACAAGGCTTAGCTAATGAATAGGGGGCGCCTCCGCCAACCCCGGCGTTTATCTATATCTACATCTATGTCTATCTGATCCCTATTATCCTTGTCCTGTATTGTCCCACCATATCCTGGCTTATGCTGTCTTATCCTCTCTTATCCTACCGTATCCAACACTACCCTGCCCCTATCTATATTGTCCATCTTATCTATCTGATCTATCTCATATGTCTTACCTACCTTGTCTATCATACCTATCATATCTACCATTGCCTACCATACGTATCATATCTATCATATCTATCATATCTACCTTATCTATCTTAGCAACCTTGTATAATCTTATCATATATTACCTTGTATTAACCTATCTTGTCTTATCTGCCCCATGCTGGCCCACATTTCCATGTCCTATCCTATCTTAGCCTATCTTATCCGATGTTTCTATCGATCTATCTGTATATCTATCGATCGACCTATCTGCCTACCTATCAGCTATCTATCTATCGTATCTTACAACATCTTGTCCTCTCTTATCCCGTGATATCCTCTATTCTCCTATCTTGGCCCATGTTGTCCCACCTTAAATTGTCTTGTTCAAAATGTTCCCATCTTATCGTGTCGTATCCTATGTATCTATCTATCTACCTACCAAATTACCCACCTACCTGGCTATGTATCCCATGTGGCCTCCATCTATCCTACCCCATTGTTCCTATCATTCCCATCTATCTCACCGTGGCTATCTTATCTATCTTGTTCTATCTTAGCTGTCTGGTCTATCCTGTATGTCTTTATCTACCTTGTCTATCTTATTTATCCTGTCTATCATATCTATCGTATCTACCTTGCCTACATTACCTACCTTGTCTTTTCTTATCATATACCAGATATACTCCAGCGGAGCTGGAGAGCGGAAGTTTCTAACAAATTATGCCCCTATAGGAGATCAATTGTTTTAGTGGGGCATCTCTTCTCTTCGTTTTCTTCCCTGAGCATCTCCTGTCCTTTCTTCTCTTTCTGTTTCTCTTCCTCTTGTTCTTTCTCTTTCTCTTCCTCTTTCTCTTCCTCTGTGTTATCCCTCTTTCTCTTTCTCTTCCTCTTTTCGTTTACCCCTTTCTCTCTCTCTCTCTCTCCGTCTTCCCCTTTCTCTGTCTTTCCCTTTCTCTGTCTCTTTCTCTTCTCTTCTCTTCTCTTTCTCTTTCTTTTTTCTTTCTCTTTCTCCTTCTCGTCTCTTGTATGTTTCTTGTCTTCTCTTCTCTCTCTCCATATGATCTATCTATCTATCTCTCTATTTGCACCTGACCTTGCGAAAGTGCTGTGCCTGCCACGAAATCTGTACTTGACCTTGCCAAATTGCTGCGCCTACCGCAAAATCTGCACTTGACCTTGCGAAAATGCTGCGCCTGCCACGAAATCTGTACTTGACCTTGCGGAAGTGATGTGCCTGTCACGATATCTGCGCCTCAGAGTGCGAAAATCGCGCGACGAAATCCGCGCCATGCTGCTCCTGTCACGAATTCTGGCTGTGGCACCTTAGGTTGCCGAAGTGCTGCGACTGCCACGCAATTCAATCCTGGCGAAAACCTTGTGTGGCCATGCCATTGGGCAACTTTCCAACCCCGCGGCGACCCCGTGGTGACCCCGCGGCGACCCGTAGCGAGCCCGTGCGCAAGGCTACCCTTCGCGTGTTTCGCATGTGGCTAACACCACTTGAAGTTTTCTTACTAAGCTTCCTTCGTCCTGTCTCATCATGTCTTAACGCATCCTATCCAGTTTTATCCTATCTTATCCCATCGCATCCCATCGTATCGCATCGTATCCTATCTTATCCTGTATCTTACCCTAGTTTGTGCTATTTTATCCTACCATGATCTGCCTTATGCTGTCTTATCCTGTCTTATCATATCTTATCCAATCTGTTCCTCTCCTTTCCCATCATGCGAAACAGCTGGGCCAAAGGTTTCACAGAACCGACCAGGAATCAACCCCTAGAAAGGGTATCATACCCGCTGAAAAACGCTAAGACGATAAAACAGTTTTGCCGTAAAACAGTAAAAACGCTTTTACCGTAAACGGTAAAGCGGTTTTGCCTTATGAACCATCAATATGTGAAGCGAGCCCATTTGCAACAACCCGCTGCTTTTTCGGTAAAACGGAGAAGAAACAAACAAAACAAAGTTGTTTTTGTTTTTTAACGGTTTTACCATTTTACCAAAAGACTCAGAAGCGGACCTGTTAGCACCTACCCCGCTGCTAAACCAGCTTAGAAAATGGGTGGCGCTTTCTTGGTTTCCCAAAAAAAGGTACCCTCTTAGTAAAGACCAAGAAAACCCTCCAAAAACAGAGAGAGACACCCCCTCTCCTGTTGATCCAGCATCTCCCAGACGTGGAAGTCCGCCGTGCGCACCTGCCCTTTCGCCGCGAAGAAGTCTGAGTCCTTCTGTCGAAGCCAGGCCTCCAACTT